CGGAGCCCCGCGGCTGCCGCGCCTTCCAGTTGTGCCTGCGGCGCGCGCGGCCCATGGCGGCACCAGCAGCCCCGCTCCCCACGTGCGGCTCCCGGCAGCGCCTCGGCGCAGGCGCCCGCGGAGCCTCGCGAGAAGGGGGCGGCGCGGGACGGCGGCTCCGCCTCGTGCCTCCTCCCGCCGCCCGAGCCTCCTCGGCGGCCGCGGGCTGATTTTCATCCATCGGTTCCCAGAGGATTCAGCACCCTCCGCTGCGCGGGGAGATCTCCCTGCGGCCGCCCTCATGAGGCGCCTCCCCTCCCCTCAGGCGGGCCCGTTTTCCCGCCCAAAATAACGGTCGCGGCGCCATGAGGCGGCCGCCGCGGCTCCCCCCAGCCCAGCGAGGCTTCCCCACAGCGCTGCAGCTCTCAGGGCAAAGGCTCAGGAAAAAAGTTTATTTTGAAGCTTTGTCACAACACCACGGTAGATTTGTGAAACCGCTCTACAAAGGCCTAACTACATCGTACATTGATCGCGTGGCCGCATAAGGAATAAATAAAGGCGTGTGGAGCTCTGTAAAAAATAAGTTTGATATATTTGTAACTACTTAACGATATTACCAGTAGAATCTAATGTTTCCCTAAGGATCGGAGGTCAAAAGTATACATACACCATTTCTTCAGACCAAGTTATTTTTACAGAAACACAACAGTTGTACAAACTTAAACACTATTCATCTCGAAATCTGATGTACAAAACAGGCTGTGAAATCACTAACATCAGTGCTGATAACGAGTGCTACCATAGCAAATATAATTTCTGATTAAAAAGAAGATCCATTTTTTTCTTTTTTATGTGCTAATTGTCATCACAGTTCAATGGAATTATCCAAAAGTTTAAAATGCATGCGGACACAATAAAATCTTTTATTATCCAACCCCAACAAAGAGAACTTAACGGTCATTTACGTCATTAGCTGCCAAATACAGATCAGTATGTGAGGCAAATCACACTTAAAAATTCTACACCATCAAAGAGCTAAGATTTATACTGGTCTATTTTCCACATTAACTATGCAACAAGTCTTTAAAAGCAAATCACAATTTGAAGGACGCACTATTAAGTACAGCATTGAATTACATCAGATTTTACACATTGTACTCTGATACCCAATACCACTTTTAAAAGCATTATTACATTCTTAATACAACAGTTCAGTTACCTATACAGGTGAGGTGTGCACTTTCAGAGAAACTGCTACAAATGTAAGTTGTTTTGCAAAAATGTCAACGTAAAAATGTCAATGTACTGAGAATACATTGTCCTACAGTGGCTTCAAATATCAGATCTTAAAGCATGAAGCTAAAAATACTTAAGACCTTACCGGAATTTCTGATATCAGATGGTTTGAAGTCCATCTTGAGCAGTTACATGTCAACCAGTGTAATGTGGTGACACTCAAGTAGCTGCTGGGAATGGGCTGGTAGATAGGAGCAGTTTGATACTATCAGCCTTTGGATCAAAGGCCAGATTGAGTGTATCTACACACATGTAACTGCACCTCAGATAATCCATACCACTTTTAAARTCACTTGCACCAGATCAGGTGCAAAGGATGGACGGAATACTAGAGGAATGCATAGGTACCACCACCCAGCTCTGAATAAGCAGGACAGTGGTGAGAGCATGGGTCTGGGAGCTGAGAGATCTGGGTTTTGTTCCCATTTCTGCCACTCACTGCGCGGTCTTGGGCAAATCTGTCATGTTCTGTGCATCAGTTTACCCATGTGTCAAGTGGTGCTACCTGTACAGCTCTGAATTAATTTAAGATGCTCCATCAGTGGCAATATAAAAGCAGTGCTACCACTTTCACTGGAATGAGTTCCTAAAAGCAGAGCAGAAGATTTTATGGATAAACTGGATAATTCTGTATGGAAAAATATCTGTAAAAGGTATTTACAAATGTAACTCAAAAGAGATTAAATACAATGCCACATTCAGGTCGCTAAAGCATTTCACTACAGTGCATGTTTAAAAACACAGAGCATTTTTAAAAGTATCTCTATATATTGCAGATTAGACTGCTTATCAAAAAAAAAAAACCCATTGCTTTCAAATTTTACTACAGTGAAAACTGAGCTGGGGAAAAACACTGATTAAAAATATCCAGTTTTATATATACTGCTTTTCATGTAACACTTGGCTGTACATGGGATGTAAGTAAATACAAAAATACTTCTCTTCATGCAGCAGGGCGATCAAAATTAGAAGAGCATTAATACAAAAGGGCTGATTTTATAAAACTAAAAGACATGACTAAAGAGACAGGGAGAAACTATAACAATCCAAGTTAATTTTCATGTCGCATTTTAACATAAATCTTTAATAGACAACTCATAATATATAAACGATTCAAATATTCTTAACTTCAACATTAAATATGGATTACATAAAAATACTATCTATGCAAAACTGACTCATGCACGTAGTCCTATTGAAGTCAGTGGAGTCGCTTACATGAGCGAGGTTTGCAGGCTTTGGTCCTCAGGCCTCAGACTTAGCTCAACACTTCAAGGCTGTGCAAGCTTTGCTAATCAATTCCTAAWTTCCAGGGTGGTGTTTTAGCCCAGTCCTCCGAGCACAGCAGAGGAGGGAAAACAAATTATAGGGAAGACTATGTAATACTATGGAAAATGAGCTGTAAAAAAAAGAAATATACTTTGAATATTCAGCTATACTAAGCAGAGTGTTTGTTGCAAYAGTACTCTGTTTCTACTCTGTACTCTCTGTAAAAAAGTAACTCATGAAAAGCAGTTACTTTGCCACTCTAAATATATTTCTTCAAAATCAGTGCCAGGGATGTACAGACAATATAAAAAAGTAAAATGGATTACAAGAGTGCYAATTGCACATGAAACCATTACATTGAACTTAAGGGATCACAGTTCAGAAGAAGTGCCATAAATATGGATTTTAAACTAATCACTTGTGCAAATGCCACAYACAGACCAAAAGAGGTTAGGCAAGTAGTATGCATTAAAAAAAAATCTCAAATTTCAGCATACAGAGAAAAATAAATTCTCCCCAAAGTTACATTCAATTAAGTGTCACATCCAACAGTTCTGCCCAGCCAGACAAGAAGTCGAGCCCAAGTGGCAAATCGTGCCCAGGGCCAGTCCCACTGAGACGGGCAAACCAGGTGAAGTGATAGCACACAGATCATCCTTTGATACTTGTTCCCCTCTGCTTTTTGCCAGTATCATGGCTAGACTTTATGGCAATCATTTTTTTTCCTGTACTCCTTTAAATTATTAGGGAAAACACTTCTCATCTGCAGCCCATCTCACTTCACACAGGATTGATTCTGTGCTCATTACTATGGTGTTAGATGCTTTCCCCCTCTGCTCTCCTTCATTTATATCCTTGAATGAGATAGGTTACTAAATTAATTCACCTATCAGGCTTTCTTCCCTGAGGTTACCTTTGTTTCAATGCACTTCTGCAATCCTTACGAAGCCAGTGATAATCTACCAAGCTAGTTCAACATTGCAAATACATGGAATCCTTCAAAGTAAGTTTGCTTCAAAGCTTCCACATTACTTTGGAATACAACTGTTCAATATACTCTTCTCATAAGGTGACTCATTTTCCCCAAAACCCGATGTAGTGAGGACACAGACTCCCACCCAAAAGCTCCTATAAAACTATTATAATTTTAGAAAAAAAATCCAGATCTTCCTGAAGGTAATTTATTGCCGCTTATTGGTCCTGAGAAAGCTTTAAGCAACAATACATTTGCAAGTGTTTTATCTGCTGCCTTTTTTTGAGAAAGTACATGGGTCCTGAGACTAAAAACCATGTTTTATCCTATGCACTGCTTGGAAAATGCTTCGCTATGAAGATCAAATATGAACTATAATCTGCCACACTACATCTCTTCCCTTCAGGTCAATTTCTTAAAATAGATTTCCTTTCAACCACTTAAGTTAAATCCTTGATACAAAATGCAACAAAGTAAACCCATAKATATCTACATTTATGAATTCTTCATATCAGACCGGCATTTCACTTGAAATTCACAAAATCTTACTTCTCTCCTTTTTCCCTCGACTCCTATTAAAAGCTATGGTGTGAATTTTTTGGCTCGGATACCAGAAAATTCTTCATATGATACTCTATGAAAGGCAACTTCGAGGCAATGAAATAAGCCAACAATAAAACAAAACATTCATAACTTCAAAAAAAAAATGTGGACCCACAGTAGTTACTTCTCAAGAGAAGTGTTTGGTAGCTCGAGTTTTTTTTTTCTTTTTAACATTTTAAAGTGTCAAATTTGCATATGTTTAGCTCAATTTAAGTATCTGAAAGACTACTCAATTTGCTTTTATAAAAACTTTACAAAAGATGTTTTTAAATGCCTGTAAAAGTAAGCGTTTATCTACTGAGAAAATTCTAGTACTGGATAAAACTCTCTAAATATACAGCTGAAATCTTTAAATGTTTCTTTCCTTACAAGTATAATGGCTGAGTGTATAATCTAGGTAAATTAGTCTTACACATGATGAAAAGTTTTAACCTCGCACACTTTTTACCATGTGATGTTTTGCTGCTTTGTAACTTCGAATGAGACAGTGCTTAGGAATTTTCTAGAGAGCTGGTGTACAGTGGTCTATAGGGGTCGGTTCATTGGTCACTGCCTCTGTCCAGGTTTTCAATCACCCTGGAAAGACGTATATTCAGAAGTCTGATCTGGCTGTCAAGGTGGTCCATCTTCTCCTCCAGGCTGCTGTTGCTGTTTCTTCTCCAGTAAAATCCAACAGGCCCGGTCATGAAATACACAGCTACAACAAAGCAGAGAGGCAGCACGGCGTGTTCTGGATCGCCTTCGTACTTCTGGAGGATGTACACACACGAGAGGGTGAAGAGGGCAACCCTCGCAATCCAGAAGAAGCGACCAAACATCATATGCAGGAGATAGAAGAAGAATCCAAGGAAGAGAGAGAGAAACCAATAGGCAAGTAAAATGGCACCAATGAGCAGAAGAGCACGGGTTGGGTTGTTGGCAATTGCTGCTGGGCTGAAATAATGAGTCAGGTTGGAGGCTGAAAAACAGGAAAAGTTACAAAATATGAATTCGGGAAAGTGAAGGTGACAAGGATAAAGACACCAGCACAGCCACCAAAGAGCCGTGCAGCACGGTCATGACTGTCTTTGCTGAAGGGGCAAAGCTAGTTAATCCATTTCTGGATGGACCTTCAACTCACTGGTTCATCTCTAATGTTGCAGCTGAATTAATTCCAATTAATTAGAGATGTTAAGGATTCTTTATGGAAAGACAAGCTGCCACAGGGCATAAGCTGAAGGTTAATATCAAAGACCAGGGACTTTTCTCTGGAAAAATTCTATTGTAAAGGCTCTTATATTATACCTTTCCTTCACATAGTCCTCCCTTCCTTCCCTTTCCTGCCCATTTCCCACCATGCAATGACGATGAGCAACAAACCAGCAATGATCTCTCTTGGGAATTTATAGAGAGATCCCATAGACACATATATACAGGAACAACATACTTGGTTTAGTGCTCTTATTTAAGAAACAAAATGCAAAAATAAAGCCATATAGAGTGGACAGAGATACCACTGACGGATGCTCTATGAGGCACGATTAAACAAAGCAGTTATTTTTTCACTCAGTCTGTGAACATTGCTATCTCCTGCTAGGCTTCAAGGGTAAACAGGCATCACACTCACCATCAATCCCAAGAACATCTAACAGGTCAGTCCATATTCTCCAGAATGTGTCCATTAATATATCCACCCCATTCACAAACCTCTCAGTCAACCTTGAGAAAAACTGAAAAAAAAAAAAAATGGGAAAAATAAAAATCCTTAGGCGCAGCTTGCAACTTAATAGCTACAAGTATCGCATATAAAAATTATCTACATTACATGCATATGTAATATATGAGGTTGTGAGAATTTTAAGTCAGAATCGTGTAATATTTTKAAATATACTCAGCACAGCGGGTCACTCTTACTCCAGGCAATGGCACATGCAGTTTTACACACGCTGTAAGAGCATTTGGAACTGGCACTGAGCAGCTGGCCCTGCTCGTGCCCTCTCCCCGCAGCGGGAGCGGGTCGCGGCGATGCCCTCGCTGGCCACGCAGAGGGCATTTCGCTCCCCTCCRAAATAAGTTTTATTTATAGATTTTGGGGTTTCTCGACGCCAAGCCAAGCCTCGCCTGCCGCTTCCTCCCTCCCCCCACCCCCCCCCCCGCCCCCCCCCCCGGCCCCCCGCCCCCCTGAGGCGAGCAGGGAAACGGCCCCTGCGGCCCCCAGGGCGCGGGCAGGCGGCGCCGCTCCCGCTGCGGGAGCCACGGGCGCCCGCGGCGAGGGCAGGCGGCGGGGGCCTCACCTTCTGCAGGGCCCGCACGTTGTCCTCGCCGAAGAGGCCGCTGACGCCCTGGTAGAGGCCGCTGGCGGCGCGGCGGAGGCTGTTCTGCTTCTCGGCGCCGCGACCCCGCGCCGCCCAGGCGCCGCCCAGCAGCAGGGCGAGCAGGGCGAGCAGGGCCAGCAGCCGCAGCGCCGGCAGCCGCCCCGCCGCCGCCATGGCCGCCCGCGCTCCGCGCCGCGCGCCGCGCTCTCCCCGCGCCGCCACTGCGGCGCCCCCTGTCGGCCGCGCCGCGGCACCGCCCCCCACCTTCCCGCCCTTTCGGCGGCAGCGGCGCGCGCGGCACGTACGGGATATACGGCGGTAAGGTAAATATGGCTGCACGTTATATGCGGCGGTAAGGTAATTACGGCTAAACGGTAAATACGGCGGTAAGGTATATACGGCGGTAAGGTATATATGGATACATGGTATATATGCGTGTCCAACCCTCAGCATGAAAGGAAAGCTACTCAAATCAGGGATCCCTGCTCCTTGGAACGATTGCTAGAGTGGTAGGGTCTATAATGCCCCGCAGGTGGAGATCGCGCAGCCCTCTGGGCAGCCGGTACCGCTCTGCACCCGTGCGCCTGGTAAAATAATGTTTTCTTGCACCTAATCTGAATCCCTGGGTGTCAGGTTGTGTCGGTTGCCTCTTCATGGAGCACTTCCAAGAGCCTGGCCATGTTTGTGACCATCATGGAGTTGGGTCTTGCTCTTGGTCCCCCCTGCCCAACAATCCTGGTTCCCCCACGTCTCCTCAGAGCTCCTGGACTCCAGGCACCCTCAGCCTGGGGTCAACAGCCTCCGTGTCCTGGGAGGCCAAAGCTCAACACCTCCCTGCAAGGGGCATCCGCTCCCCATAGGACATGTTTGTGGGTGGCAATCGATCAAATGCCAAAAATTGACACTGTTCTTTGCAGTAGAGTAACTTTGTAGTAGTGTGTCAGATCCAGGGGTTCCTGTGTCCTCCACCCTTGACAAAATTGGCCTTGGAGGAATATGCCAAAAACTGAGTGCACTTAATGRAGTGACTCCCTCTTCTGGCAGGTTTGTACAGCTCTTTCCTGAGGAGTCGAGACACGAGAAGATGACTGAGAAGCACAAGTTTGGTAACGCTATGGGCCCCTTCTGCACAGCTGGGATGTTGGCAGTGATTAACGCTTTAGTTCACCTCTCTATGCGTGTATTTATTTATTTTTCCCTGAGTAGACACGAAAACAGCCACAGTAATATCAAAGTCTCGTTGCTTAGTCAAGTAGATACGTAGAATATAGATTTCTTGGTGGTGGTCTCATCCTCCCATTTTAGTCTGGTCAAAAAGCTTCTTTACTTGGGTAGGAGACTGGCCCTGAAAGAGTTGGGCCCAGGTCCAGGAAAGTACTTAGTCTCCTCTTGTATTTTGGTAGGATGTTGAGGCTTTGCCTCTGTATAAATCTTGCCGTTGGCGTGTTCAGACTCTTATAGCGAGCCCTTGAAATTGCTGATGTGCTAATGCTTGTGTATCTTCCAAAGTGTATTTCATACTCTTGCAACGCAATGTTGGTAATCGATATCAAAATCACTTCTGCAAAGACGAGTTTTTGCCATTTCTTTCCGTATGTTCTGCACAGAGGCTCGGAGGCCTATTTTAACGGCTGCCTTTGGAAGTCTGCGCTCACAGTTGTCCTTCATCTGAGGTCAGGATAATTTTAGAGTCTTCCCTGGTATTTAATTGATCTCCTAACATGTCTCAATGGGCCTATTTCAGGTGCACTAATTTCCCCATATCCCCAGCTCTGATGAGATTATGCAGTATTTCACCTTTCTCTTGTTTACACAGATGAAATCATGTCTGCCCAAAGAATACATTGCACCATGGCATGAAATATTGATCTAATATTTCTTTAACGACATTGAACTGTCTAATTAGGATAGCTGTGTGGCTTCTGGAAAGGTCCTAAATTGAAGGTCCTCTCATATTCTGTACAACCCCTATGCTTTCCGATCTAATCTAGAAACTAAATGACTTTTTCAGGCATGGGAGATATAATAACATCCTGAGTAATACTAGAAATAAAATGGGGCCTTCCAGGCATCAAAAAAAAGTTTTATCAGAGCACAAAAGCTTCTTACTCTTACACAGACGTCTCAACCATCTTGTGGCTACTGTGAATATAAGTCTTTCCTAAATCTCTAGGTTTTCTAATCGTGGTTTCTAACTCACAGGGATGCCTGGCCCCACATGTTTTACTGTTTGTTTTTGTTCCATAGACTAGCTGTAGATTAATTACCTCTTAGACCACAAATGACGTGGTATCA